TTTCAACGAATGCAAAATACAAAACACCCACATCAACAGCATTGTCTCACCTAACAGTGAAAGTGGATGAATAACCAGCATTCATGAAGTTATAATTACTTATTTTGTTGTTCTTTTAATCCGGCAATTTGAAAACTTTTAATTAAACTGTATTAGTTAAGTATATTCTTTGAAGCTTTTGACCTCGTTTTTTTAGCAATTTATCTTCGCTTTGTTTCCCTTTCCGGAATAACTCTTTACACCGCCATCCCTGATAAATCACCGATCTCGACGCTATTTAGCCCGCGATCGTACAAACAGTGCGGTATTTTTATCGAATTGCGTAAATCTTTAATCGGGAGTCGTAAAATTCGCGGCCATAGACTCCGTGTTTACAAGGAGCCGTTCCTCGTAAATTCGCTTTAATTGAGTGCAACCAGATTTTAATCTTTTTCTAGTTTGTGGATCGAGTTAACATCCGAATCAAGTGCTACAATAGAAGATAATTCATAAATTATTAAGGAAAACATTAAAAATAACAATTTAAATTTTAAACTTTTTATGTAATCTATATCTTGCATGGGAAATGTGGTGTAGAGGTGCATACTGTAGGTGCTTTATTTTAACGTGTTCATCGGATAAACCACAAAGCTTTGTGTACCTACCGCTCCTGCACATCAAAATTGGCTTTATACCTTGCCCATCCGAGACAAAGTCACCAACAAAATTACTTTTTACATTTTCTATCTACCAAAAGCGTTCATTCGACGTTGGCGATTACATTTCAGAAAATCGATAAACAACATTTTGCAAATATGTTTTAGTTCCTCGACCTTTCATAACAATCAAATTAAACCCGAAGCTATTGATTTTCGTTTAAGAAAATTATACGATATCGATACTGTTTACTCAAGAAAACGTTGGATGATCGAATGAGTTATAAAATACAAACATACTAATTAAAATGTTGTTTGTTAACTTTTTTAGTATTGCCTCGTTCAAAATTATATAATTACAGAACCACATTGTATACTTGCGATGGTTTTATGTTGGCTATGAATAGGTTTGCTTTTATGCGCACCGTTAAATTGCAGTATACAAGCGGCTTTTCGACCGTACGAACTTTGTATACAACACGTAACAAAGCTTTGCATCGGCGCTTTCAATGTTTATTTTGATGCGCGCGAATACATTGTTTTGCACGATGGTATTTTAATCAAGTTTTAATTTAATCCGTTACTAAGCGTTCATAGTATACATAAAATTCACCTGCTGTTTTTACCCACATAATAAATTGAATAAATAAAAAGAATATATAAAATGAAAGCTACAAATTTTACAGCTTTATACTGTTCGTATATTGTATTATTTTAAAATCATAATCTCTTTAAATGTATTCTGAGTGATGAGTGTTAAAAATCTTTTTGCCAAACAAATCCGAATTGATTTTTTGATGATTTAACATTTTTGTGCTTGTTCAATTTTCTTAATTAAAGAGTTTCATTACATCATTTTGATTGCTGCCTGTGATTGACTAATAAATTTTAGATCGAGTAATTGGAACACTGTATGGAAATGGCGTAAGAGTCTACTTACATTATAGTTGTCAATCATTTATACACTTAATGATCAACTTCAGAGTTTGACGATTTTAGTTCATATCTTGGACGTTTTTGATTTTAATTCTCCACAAGTCATTGTTATAACTAAATACAACTGGGTCTGTAACATACATCAAGACTAGTGATGGAATGAATATCTGGCAACTACCCGATATCCGGCCATTTTTAAAATCCGACCGGATATCGGATATTAAAAATCTATTACTTAGTACTCCACCATTCACAGGAATTAGTATCTCTTTTAAAAAGTCGGGAGAAAACTGAACGAAATATGCACCAGATGTGGAAATAAGAAATTCTAAGAGATTTCCCTCAGAAACTTCAATGATAAAACCTTTACATCAGCTCATTCTACTATTCGTCCAGCCAATCATAGAATTTTTCTCCACTGACAACAGTGCATATATAAAGTCTTCAAAAATCCATCGTTCTTAACGCAACTTACATGAGTTAGCGGATGCTACTTTATAAATGGTGTCAAAATAATTTTGAGTATTTTTTTTAAATCGGTGATAGCTATATTTTCTTGTTTCACTGTTTTGAATATCATTTACTACATCTATTCCTAGAAGTGTCACAGCGTTATTTCCTGGAACTATTGGATTGATTTTCAAAGTACTGCGTTGTAACTCGCCAGTTCATCAGATATGTCTATTGATGATATTCCTGAATTGTAGTCGACAATAGCGGCTGGTTTATGAACATTATCATTGCGCCTCTACTCCGATTGTTTCGTTAGCATAATTGTTGTTTCAATTTTATGTAATCTGTCCCCTTCGGATTTCATTATTACTAAAGTACCACATTTTTAGTAGCAACTCGAAGGAATTATTATTTCTTGTATCTCTTTAAAGTGTATATTGTGATATGGTGATTCATTTGAGAGATGAAGATTAATTTTAAAATATGTTGAAAGAAGTTATTTATGGTGAGGGCTGATCTTCAGAGAAAATGCTCAAGAGTTAAATATAGTGATAGATTAATTTAAAAATTCTGCCAAACATGTTATTGTGTACACAAATCTACTGATAAATACATGAGGAGTTCATAAGAATTAAACAATTTTGTTATTTTGTTACATAAAAAAACCATTAATAATTTTTATTAGATTTTTTGTTAGTTTGTGAATTGTACTTTGTCCGATTGCAATGTGTCATTTGGCGTAGTGTAATACGATTGGGAATCGATTAATCAATCGCCAATTATCCATTGCGACAATGTTGACGATCAGAACAACACACATGGTTAAATGCAGTTTCACGCCGAAACGACCGTACGCTAGATTATGAAAACCGAAAATAAAACTAGATAAAAAAACCGGTACGGTTTCGACGGAACGGAATGCTTTAATTTTAACAATTGTTTGTTATCAGTCGAGCTGCAGCTGACGCGTATTCCATTAACCCGGAAGAGTCCTCCGAGTTTCTCCCCTTAATGGAAACTTGGTAATTTAGGGTACACTTTGGTACGCCAAGCGCTTATACGAACAGGTTCTAGAGGTGATATTTAAAGAAAACAGTAAATTTTCATTGGAAACCGTCCAAAACAAACGATGTGTGTCGCGAATTTTATTTTTACATTTTAGAATTTGAACGGTGAACGTCAGCTTTGATGTGTAAATTACCATTACAGGTGGCAAATAGTAATATTAAGGACGGCGACCTTTTGATAATTATATTTACTTCACCAGAGGGAATAGGAATATTTTAAAACGCTTAGAATGCAGATCAGCAAATTCTTAACCTAATTAAACAGACTTTTTCCCCTTTAGTTTTTTCTTATTTCAGTCGACCGGGTGCGGTAATTGAATCTGAAGCTTCTTCCTCAACGAAATAACTTCCAAATTGGACTCGTTGCACCTCGTCTAATATAGTTAAAATTTTGTTCTTAACCCTTCGAAGTAACAGCGACTCTTTATCGGTATTCCATCTTCATTTATAAGCGAGAAACATTTCCTTCACAGTTCCTTCTATTTAACGGGAAAAAGGTAATAAACGACTCTGAAAGTTCTGGTTTTATTACTTCGAGATGGTTTTATTCCGGAAATAAGAATTTTTTTTTCTTCGTTGCATTCAATTTGAATTATCCGGGTTAAGCTTTTAGTTTAGTTTTCTTTAAGTAGGTATTTATTTTTAGATTTAAAAATAAAGATATTCTATTTATAACAAAAATCGTTAAGTTAATGTAGATATCTTGGAAGGTATAAAAATCCGACAAATGATGAATAGTACTATCCAGGACATCAAAGACATGGAAACTAATAAAATCGAAATTGATCAAAAATGAAACTAGATAAATCTTATAACACACTTGTGATTATAAATCTGAAATTGACTTTGTTAGCAAAATGTTTGCTGGCTGCTCTATGTGAATAACAACTAGTGATGGAACGGCTAGTGGGATAATAGATAATAGATACTCATATTCCAAGAAATGGATTTTATACGAATTTTTAAAACTTAATCGGCGAAAATTGCAAAATTCGAAAAAATTCGATCATTTCAAAAATTTATTTCTAAAGAACTAAAAGTGAATTTTCAAAACGGCTTGTTGCATTAAAAAGAGGATACTATAATTAATAATTGGTGATATTTCTACAAGGATCCTTCAAGAAATTAATTTTATAGCGAATTTTGAAAATTAGCGATGAAAATTGCAACATCGAAAATTGTATCAAAACTTCAAATATTGTTTTCTCAAAAACTAAAAGTTATTTTTCAAAACGTGTTGGTTCATTGATAAGAGGACACTATTATTAACACATTGGAAAATTTTCATACTCATATTCCAAGAAATGGATTTTATACGAATTTTTAAAACTTAATCGGCGAAAATTAGAAAATTCGAAAAAATTGTCGATTATTTCAAAAATTTATATTATAATTTGAATTTATATAATAAAACTAAACCTGGTTTATTTGGATTAACACCCCAATAAGTTGAAAACTCTTAAGATTATTTGAACTCTTCTTCATCGAAATCCAATGAACCGTAAAACTTAACTGGATGGTTCGTGGAAACTTCAAAAAAGAATCGTTTGTTAGTCGTAAAAGACGAGGTTAAGCGTGATAAACGTTTATTATCCTTTTATTATCACGAGGATAATAAAAATCTGTCGACAATCCGGGCTGGGAAAATTATACTTTTTTTGAGGGTTCTCTGTAAACAGAAGCATCAAGGTCTTGTTTACAAAGAAACGAACCGAATTCCTGAACCTTTTCGCTTAAGGCCGCCTTTGTTCGTTAATAATTAAGTTTTCATCGCTTATAGAAGGCTAAAAAAGAAAATAAAAAGGGATATTGAATTATTAATGAATCTGTTTAAAACTGTGGTGATGGTCTACATTAAATAGATGGTTTAAAATTGTTATTTGCATAATTAATGTTTCAATCGTTTCAGGGTATTGGCCGTTTGGAGAAGTTTGGTGCAACATCTACGTAACTTGCGATGTTTTAGCCTGTTCATCCTCAATAATGCACATGTGTTTTATAAGTCTGGACCGGTATTTGGGTATCCGTAATCCTTTGAAAACCAGGCATCGATACACCATACGAACCGTAGTACTCAGAATCGCCTTGGTTTGGCTCCTTTCGATGTTAGTTTCAAGTTCCATCACAGTATTAGGTATGAAAAAAAAACCCTTTGATGTTATAATCTATTACGTAAACTTTATTTTCCGCGTTATTTCAAACTTGTACTTATTTTCAAAATGATAAATCGTTCTGATTTGTCAAGTTAAATTACCCGATTTGTATTCGGCTCGAGAAATAAGTGTTTTGTTAAAAGTAGTCGCGTTGAACGACGATAACGTAGCGTTAACATTTACAGATCGTTAATATTCCTCCAAAATTTATTTTTCAGGTATAACAAACCCTAAAAATATCATGCCAGAACCGGAGCAGTGTGTCATCAACAACAGGCTGTTTTTTGTGTTCGGATCGTTGGTCGCTTTTTACGTTCCGATGGTGGTAATGGTCGTAACCTATGCCCTTACCGTACAATTGTTAAGGAAGAAGGCTCGGTTCGCTGCCGAACATCCAGAAGCCGATCAATTTCGACGACTCGGTGGTCGGTTTCCATCGAAAACCGATAGGTCAACTACTATTGCCACTCATCATACATTATGGAGAACAGCAGGAGTATCAGATAGGTAAAAATATTTTCTTTTTCGCTATTAAATATTTCAACACTCAACGAACATTATAGAAATAATACTATTTCAATCAAATTATCCAAATAATTTAAAAAAATTGAGACACATCTGGTTGTTAATCTTAAATCTATCGACTAAAATGAATCGATAATACACTTTAACACCCACAATACAAATAAACATAAGATATCCTCAAAGTCATTTATTTCCTTAGAATTAAAACATTTTCCGCTTACTTAAGCTCATTCATAATTTATCCACCTAACCCTTTTGCTAGAAGTTTTAACCTCTTTACGAACCAGAGATAAATGTTTGAATTTGGATTCACGCCAAATAGAATTCGTAATAAAATCGTTTACCGTAATTCCCCGTTCGTATAAAGCTTTAGGAAAAGATAATACTACCAAAAATAATACCCAATTCCAAGTACTTTGTTACAATACATTTTCCAGAGGTTCCAATAAGATGCGCATCAGTAGTTCGCATACACAATTATCGTACGTGAACGGAGGAAATGCGGCTAACAGTACACCCGGTGGTGGTGGTGGTGGCGGCATCGGTGGGGGACACCGGGATAAAAGCACACAAACGCCGGAAAACATAGCCAAAGAAACGAGGAACTTCCGGTTGCGCTCGCTCAAACTGCAATTGAACAGCGTTCCAAGCAATTTGAATTTCAGGTAAGTGCGGTCGTTACGTCACTTTTTACTGCTTTTACACCACCTGAAGACGTTGTAATTGTATGACCTAGGGGTTTCTCTTCATGATTCGACGAGATGCGGTTTCCCTAAAAATGGGATATATTTTTCCTCTTACATTTTTGAAGATCTCTCTATTCGCATTCTCAATGCAGTAAGTACGTGTTCAACTTGGACGGTTGCCCGGAATGATAAGCGATCAGGGAATTATTCAACACTTCTTGTTATACCAGAAAATGAACATAAATGAATTGGGATTAAATGAACTAGCTGAGTTATAAACTTTCGTGTAACTTGTGAAATAATCTATTTTAAAGATCATTCAAAAGTTTTAATGGTTTAAACGTGTTTAAAAGTCATTTTTGTTTTATAAAGAAAACAATAATATTGTTACGAAAAAAAGTTGAGGAGCGTCAAGGTGGTGGCGGTCACGTCACGGGTATCTTATTACGAGTTTACCTCGGCACTTTTAAGATCGACGAAGGGCGGAATATATCACGGTGAGTAAGTTGCTCTTGAGGATACCGTCACGGAGACGTCCTCAATGATGAGTGCTCGTAGCTTGAAGGCGAAAAAGAGTAACGAAGATGCGCAAGCACAAAGTTATAAAAATTTAAATTAAAAAAAGAACTCCATAAAATAAGAATTTAAATAAAGTTATAAGTAGTTTCGAAATTTGGTGGTTTTGAAATGGAGTGTGGTTTTTTGGGGGGGAGAAGTGTTGGAGTGCTTTACAAGGAAGAAGCATTAAATCGTTGATGTCGTGCGTTGAAAGGATATATACAGATAACAAGGGGATCTTTTTTATTAAAAGACACAAAACCTGTCACACCAAGTGATGATAACGCAACCTTGCTGCTCTGATTAATCGATTTGAAACGAAACACGACAATATCCCAACCTTAACTGTTCGTGGTTTTCGTCCCTCATTCAGTTTTTACCCATTTCCTCGAAAACGAAGCCATTCCGTATTCTTTTCCTGCTCTTATTAATAAATCACGTGATTCCCGAGAAACGGCTTATTGGGCCGTAAAGTGCGGAAAGCAAAATTCCAGGACACGGCAACGTTCCACTCGAGTCGTTTTCCCGTTCATATTATTTATTTTTTCTTCTTTCATCCTTTTTCTCTCGGCCGTCGCGTAGGAGATCTTTTAAAGGACGACGATTTTCACTCGACGATATCCCATTTGCACGGCATAACTAGGAAGCCCCGGTTTATGCAAATCCAGGGGTTAAATTCATGGCGCATATACGAACAGAATAATAGCTATGATCTCTCTCTCACTCAACCGACGAGTCTTAGTGATATGATGCCTGAAAATCCTGAAACGACGTCCACAACGTCGAATCAACAGCTGTAAGCTATAAACTGTGTTTACATATGTCAAGAGGGAGATTACAATTTAATTTTTGCAGTTGTGTTTATTTATTATTAATTCATATTTTTAAATTAAATGGAAATCTTTTTTTAAATACAGTTAAACCTCGATATGACGGATTAATATGGGAGAGAGAGTGTCTAGCTAACGCTAGAAATAGAACTAGAATCATTCGGGTTTAGCCGATCGTCTCTTAAGACGGCTAAACCTGAATGATTCTAGTTCTAGGTCTAGTGTTAGTTCTAGTTTTATTTCAATGAAACTTATACAACAATCAAACGCTGAATAACAACTAAAACTAGAACTAACACTAGCAATACAACTAACACTAGACCTACAACTAGAAACATTTGGGTTTAGTCGTCTTAAGAGATGTACAGTTAGTGCTAGTTCTAGTTTTAGTTCAATACAAATATACAACAATCGTCGTTGATTTATTTATTGACATCGTATAGACAGCTCGGGGAATACCCCGAGTTTATCTATGAACATGGAATAGAGCAACTTGGGGAATACCCCGAATTAGATTCTATCCATCTTCGCTAACATTTATATTTAAACATACTGATTTGTTAAATACGCTATATTGGAGGTCCGTTTTATCGAAGTTTTACTGCTATTAAGTTTTCAATTTTATTTAATAGATAATTTATTCCCTTCTCAAATTTAGTGACCCAACGAAAACCACAAACGATGCTCTAGGACCCATTATCGTTCTCTCATTAACATCGATCGTCAGTCTGAACTAATTGCATTAACATTCGGAGTCTCCACGATGAATTTTAACACTAATTACTCAACAATTCTCCTCCATCATTAATATTAATTATTAGTAATAATTAATAATATTCTAATGATTCTATTTCTATTAAATTTCAGATTGTTAGCTGGGAGGGTTCGAAGAAAACATATAGCAGCTAACGCAGTTGCAACAGAACAAAAAGCTTCGAAAGTATTAGGTTTAGTATTTTTCACTTTTGTTTTATGCTGGTCACCATTTTTCATATTGAATATTATCAATGCTTCGTGCGGGAACGAGTGTAAGATACCAAATCACGTGGAGGTCTTCTGTTTATGGTTGGGTTATGTTAGTTCGACCATCAATCCGATTATTTACACGATATTTAACAGGACGTTTAGAGCTGCGTTTATTCGATTATTACTATGCAAGTGTCAAAGGTAAGTTGAGAAAAAAGTTAAATTAAAATTCCTTAATTTAAATTGAAATTGTTAAGATCCTTTTGTAAGTTACTGTACACGTTATACGTAATTTCCAAGAGATATAATTGATTGGATTAGTTCCTAAATGGAGCGTTTTGACCTTGGAGGCAATGACACCATAATCAATGGGACGTCAAGGGGCTAATTTATGGCGCGCGTAGAACCCTGGCCGAACTTCGAAATAACTCAACAGTAGACCAGGAGCTACGCGCGTACTTTGATTTATGCGACAAAAAGTGGAATTTTGGGAATCTAAATATGTTTATCATCAAAATAAATGTCAAACAAATTAAAATACCCCCAAAGGAATTTCAACTTTCAACGCGTTTTTTTTTAAACTGAATGTGATATTTTCCACCCGCATCGCGGCGTGTTAAATCCATTATTCGGGTCTTTTCCTTCCTCCGTCCAATATTTTATGGTCGCAAAAAAAATGTCGGGGATAAACGTCTAACATAGTTTTCCGGAAGAGATGCAAAATTTACTCAAATTACCCACATAAAACCCTCTCCCGTTGAGAAAACCGACGGAGAAAGAGCTAAATCGACGTGTGTGTGTCGAAGGTTAAAAGTAAATCGTTCGAATTGAGTCAACGTTGTTGGATTATGGTCGGGCACTTTGGCAATAACCTGAGAGACTTTGTGAAGTTTGTGTTTGCACCGTAGGGGTCATTTGTTGTCTTTTTTGGTTTCAGATTATCGAGACCGGTAAGGTACCGTTCAGTAAACGAAAACAGGAGCGCCGCCAGTTTGTGCACTCCGTCTGCCCTTCCGTTAGCTATAAGTTTACAGGGAACGCCGCTGTTAACACCATCAACCGAGTCTTCTTACGTTGTAACAAGAACACCTTCTTGTACTTTTAGAGAAACGTCGGATTCTTACGACGATCACGACTGTTAATTTCCTTTTTGTATATGTTTTTTATTTAATTAATTAATTTTCTAATTAATTTATTATTTTTTTACGAAGCCAAAAAAGAACTTATTCTAGTGAGAAAGACCTGTTACTTTGTAGGTAGTATATAAAAATAGTATTATTTATTTATTTTTAAATATTTAATAAATTATTAAGTATTTATTCCTACTCTAGCCAAGTCAGTATCTGTTCTTCGTTCCAATAATTTAGTGGAACGATAATAATTGTTTTCCTTTTACGAATTTAATGTACAATTGACAATCCCTGGAATCAACTAATTACCTAAGCGAAAACCCAAAGATACCAATCGATACGTTGTTATTAAAACGTGAAATCAGTCAAAATTAGAATTATACATTTTTTCATTTCAGGAATCTCATCAATTTTAAAAAGTAACAACATTTGTATAAGTTGAAAAATTGTTATTTTCTTATAAATGAAATATATTATTTATTACCGTAATTTCTTGATAGCACGCAACGTTGCACCAACATGGAAACTGATTGAACTCATGCACGAGATTATCTTAATGTATTAAATCATAACAATAATCAATTTTTAAATCATCACCTTTTGTAATATTTTTTTACTAAGTTATCAGATAATCAATCCGATTTGTAAATCTTTTGAGATAATAAATCTTATTTTGTAAGCACAAACTGATAGAATAACTTCCCTTCTTAATCTATTACGTGAAAATAATGGAATTGGTTAGAACTAATTGTAAGACTAGAATCTTCAGGTTTTGCCCTGCATCTATTACAGCACTGTTTAACGTTCCAGATTCCATGTTGCAAAATTCTTCAGAAAGTTTCGAAACTTATTTCTGAAGAGGGTTGTAATGGCATACGCTAAACAGTTTTTGAATAAAGCATAAAAACCTCTGACTTATAGAAATGGATAATACCTTGATAAACGCATGTTGGCAAGCAGCTTCCAACACCATAAAACCTTTTTGATCACAACGTTCTCCTTATCCATCATGTTCTCCACGTACTTGCTTTCAAGCTAAATAAAGCTGGATACTCAAATTGCAACAAAAATTTCGAAAAGCCAACAGTGTTGTAGTAACTATAACTTCATAATTAAACGCAGTTTTGAAGACCTGATTACTTAAAATTCTAAATCATGCAGTTTTGAAAGATTGAATTTCCAAGGAACTGTTCGAATCAGATAACGAAGCTTTAGATGTTGGAATAAATTTCGAGACTTCATCATCAAAGTTTTCGTGGTGTTCGTAACATTATTTTGATTTTAAAGCACAACCTCATTCCTTTAGTTTAGCCAAACTAAAGGAATCTTGACATTTTTCTTTTGCTTGACCACGTAGAATATGAGGAGCCAGTATTGAACTTTATTTCTTCTCAACATATTCTTACTTTTCCATTTATTGAAATATAGTAGAGTTACAAATAATTTTTGAGTTAGTCGGTTAGTGGTATCTCGAATTTTGTACCTAGCAAAAAAATCCAAATAGGCGATGGTTAGGTTGGGTTGGACAAAAGTCCAATTGTGTATCAGCACTAAAAAGTTGGTGTTATTAGCAAAATTAGCAAAATGACAGTAAAACTCTCATTTTTTTGAAATAATTTCATTTTTTGATTATGCAAATACCAAGAACGTTTTTCCATCAATGTTTGGACAGGATTTCTTGGTAATTTGTTTTTAATGGCTAACTGCCCACACAAATGTACTTGGATTTCCAACGAAGCGATTTAAATAACCTGTTGAGTCATGTAATCATGCACATCGACGTTTTATCCCATTCCAGCATACAAGTTCGGCAATATATTAACAAAGTATTTCCTGAAAAGTGAACATATGACATAATGGACCAGTTGCTTGCAAGACTCCTTAGAATTTTTTTTACACAAATTGTTAAAATCAAGTTTGTACGTTGGTGACGAAGTCGCATGTTAATATGTTCCACATACGAAACAAATTTTTTAGACCGCTTTTCTCAAAAAAGAAATTTTTGTGTGGGAAGATGTTAGGCCAGATATGAGGATAAAATTAACTAGCTTTTGACCTGATTTAGGAGCGGCTTTACAGCCACCAGATAAACTCCCGTTAACTAAATGGTTGGTATAAATCAAATACGCAATTCTTTTCAGTTTAAGAATCGATATCTCAATAACCATTGAATGAAAAGAATTGTGGTAAATTTTATTAACTTTTTATTGAGATTTGTGATTTTGGAAATTTTTGAATATACGGTTATCCATCTCGTGATAAAATCGATGCCATCGATGTTAATGAATCAAGTTAAACAACTCCAAATTAAAAGTCAATCATGTCGATTCGAGCGAAATGCTTAATGAATAGTTAAGTACTGAACGTTTATTTTTGGTGCCACAATATCGATTTACCTTTATACTTTTCAATAGAACTTTATTACCACTTAATTGCAAAAATAGCTTGATTATAAGATTTATAGAAACACGTTCAAAAATGATTACTATTTGGAATGGTTTCTGTTGGCACAAACTTACACACATTCGTTATTAATATTATAATTACTATTATTATGACAGCGAATTTAAAAATACTTTTGTGATCTATATTTAAATAATCTTCATATATATCATTAATAAATATAAATCGTTGCTTCAAATTTGGACTGATTTCACGTTTTAACGATAACGAACATAATTCATCAAGCACATTTGTGATTTCCTTTTAACAAAATATATTTTAAAGAAATGTACCTACTTAGATATATTTACTATTAAAAATGAAACGTCGTGTCGTAGTATTTAGTTAAAAAATAATAACTTATTGATGGCCAAAAAAGAGATTATACAGCAATAATTACCTGATAGTCATATAATTCCATATGCAGTGTTTAGATCAAGAGAAATATTTAAGGAAAAAGTGTTTACTTTTGTACCATACCTCTCACATACACACCACGTGTCTACGTGAATAATAAAGTTGTTCGTTAAGTTGTCTAGTTGAACGTCTCTCATTAAACCCATCCAACTACTCAAAAATCCCTCTTCTAGTTATCATAGGAAAGTTTTACGAACTTTCGTAGAGTTTGAGTAAAGGTAAGTGTGTTACATATATTTATAATGTAAACGAAAAGTTTCCAAAATTACCAAATATTAAATTACTGTAATTATATACGTTATAGCTATAATTAATTACGAACATTTATAATGAACGGTAAACAAACACAAATTGTTGACACAATTTCAGAAATTTTCGGTAATAACTTTCAACGTTTGTTTTACAATCGCTGAAACCGTTGTAAACCAACATGAAACAACGAAATGTACACAACACATACAACAATGAACACATTCGATGATCTCGAATTAGCCACCGTTGTAGCAGCAATTCGGAATGCATGTAACAGATCAATATACAATTTTTTCTCGTCCACTTAAACCACCACGATCTCATTAAGACCAAGGGGTAAAGGGTGCAAACTCGTGCCGCAATTTTCCTCCCAGTTTTCGGTCCGACTGTTTTGCAGACAACTCAAGCATTTCCGGAAACGCTCAATTAACCAGAACATCCCCCTTCCAACCTCTTTTGAAACTCGCTTTGTATGTGGTGCCTTGTACGAACACACAACAACGTCTGTTTCGAAATGTGACAAGATGCAACCCGCGTTCGCTCGCGCGTGATAACGGTGATGAGCACGTAATTGGGGATTGTTTGGGGAACGTTCCAGATAGAAAACTTTTTGGAAGGGGGAAATGAAAATTAGCTAAACAACCCCCACCTATTTTACGTTTGGAGAGATAACAAGGTGTACAGTATTCTGTTTGGGTTAAATTAATCGATGAAACTAACTCCATCTGGTAATGAAAGAATGTAAAATGAGACTGATTGAGAAAATCAATATTTATGTATAGAAGGAAGCTCCATCTAGCATTGAGAAGATTTGCGATTAAAAATTTGATTAATCAATACTTACACAATATTAGCTCCCTCTAGTATCAAGAAGATTTAGTGGAGTTTAATTCCATCTAGTATTCAAAAGACTTACTCTAAAGATTTTTAGTAACTGAGTATAATCAATAATCATCATCAAAAGCTTCCTTTTTAGTTTCGATATGGTGATGTTGTTAATAAAGTGCTGCTTTCTATGATTAAAAAGTTGAAATACGAAATAATTTTTTGATTTCTTTTTTGATTTACGACCTAGATTCATTTAAGTGGTGGCATGTTACCGGACAATTAAAATCCGTTTAAACCCCCCCATTTTCCAATGTGGATTTATTTGCATGTCGCGTGACGAAACGCTCGTTCAGATACAAGATTTAACGGTGTTGGAATTAGCGATTTAATTACAGATATTCATCGAGGACTATGTCATAAATATGCAGATACAGAAAGAGAACGATTTCATTCGTAAGGAAGGTTCTGACACCTGATGGCGGGGTCAACAATACAAACATGGGGTAGGTGTTTTGTGACTGCCGGGGGCTTGTTCAAATAAGCGAGCAACAGTCGGTGTTTGCCGTTAGCATGCCAATGCAGTATACGAAACTCGATCGATTTACGGCTTGAACTAGAAAGGATCAAAAGAGAAACCTAAAGCTTCAATTTGAGAGGAAATAGATTAAAAATGAAACCACCATAAAAAAAGCGATTTTTTTTCGGTGGCGAACAAATAAGGATATAAAGTATATTTTTTTACAAAACCCTCCGGAACAATTTTCTTTTCAAAACACCTAATTTCAAAAACGCCATTTCACTCTCTCCGTTTCGGACAAAAAATGAGAAGGGAAAACGCAGTTTCAATAAAACCAACCCAACTTTTACGACCACATAAATTCTCTCTAAAGGCCGTAAAGCGGAATGTTCCGGTTAATACCGTTAGCAACTTTGTACATTACCAAAAAAAAATGGAAAATAAGATGAGAGACATACATTAATTTGTTAATTTTGAGGTGATCTTTCGTCGCCCGAAATGATTCGTCAGCGTGGTTCAAAACTTCGAGAGCTTGTCAGAACATGCACGTACATGTACGACCGTGACCTGCACGGACGGACGTGTCAAGAGTCTCCGGGTGCTGCTGCTGATGCCGGCAAAAAAAAATCCTCACGTCCCCCGAACACCACTCCATTCGCGCAAACCGAAAGCCCCAGTTATACGAAGCCACAAGAGCTTTGAAAATCCCAATATAGTCTCCAGTCAGTTGTGACCAGCATTAATCTAAATTTACAGTAATAACTGAAAAGACGAAAAATCTGTTGTGTACATTTCGTTATTTATCTTTACGATGGGTTTTTTTCTTTGATACTTTGTACATTTTTTTTTGTATTTTGGGTGAGTGTATACGAATGAGATATGTGTTAAACATGTCTGTTAGACCGTTTAAAAGTTTTAGTACGATTGTAAATCATTGTGGAAACGCGATTTCGAGTCGCAAATACGATCGGGTCGTTCTTAAGCTCCTCGTTTTAAATATTTTGATTAGACCCGGTAAACATTACCAGTTGAGCAAACAAACCCGCGTTTTCTCAATGGACACTTTGAAACCGTATTTTTTTACGTATCTTACGATCTTGTTTAGATTTAAAGGCCAAATCGTTCTTTTCGTTCAAGTTATTCTCAGTATAGTTCAAGGAGTTCTAAAATTACGTGACAATTTCTATGTTTAAACATGAACGATTTTAAAAATAACTTTTTATGGTAGAAAAGAAATTAAAACTATACACGGACAATCGATATATTGTTAGGAAACGGGTCGTGAAGATTAAGGTTAAGTTTCGATTCGCGCGGTCGACCTCCTTAAATAAGTTATTGTAGGCGAATCGAACCGTCTTAAACGGTCGACTATTTAACCGAATTAACCGCGGGAATCCACGATTCATTTTATAAATAGACATGGGTATACTTTAAGTTTCCCTCCTTGGTGAGCGCGTTAATAATAGAATAAAGAATGAACCGGTGCAACTCGAATCGATCTTTTCGTAAATAAAACATTAATATACCAGCTTGACCGTGACATCATACTAAAACAAATTTGTACTTGAAATATTTCAAAATCAAATTACATATCTCATAAAAATATCTTCCATTATCCTTTAATATAGCATCTTAATCTGAGGAAATTACAGTGTTTTACTCTGATTTCGATAAAACATCACATATTAGCTTATTAAGCTTTTACGTAAAGAAAAATCCTCTTATATCCAATAAGGTTAATTAATTCTACTTTGAAATCTTTATTCATATATATATTTCAATTCATTAATATAACGTTTGTAAAACATACTTAATATTCTAGTAAGGTACTAAATATAACTTTTTGCAAATGAAACTGTCGCAAAACTTGCCTATAATTAACGGGTACCGAGAGAGGTAAACACACAGGCACGCTACCACAGGATAAGTAAATAAAACAACCAACGGATTTGGTGTTCCCACTCCTTCGTGGAATTAATTATCTTGGACAAGTTCGAACTTGTAGATTAGTTGAAGCCACTCTGAATGTACACCCAATGTGTAGTGTGTGTGTGTGAGCCGTGTTACACGCGAGCAAGTTTTGCATATTTACCGTTCTGTTTCGCTTGACTCAACTTGACTAGACGAAACGTTCTTTGACTGTAAACCCTAAATTGGATTCGATACTGTTTATACATGCAAACATAGGACTTTAAAATCAACAGTATAGAATTCCCAGAAAATCATCATCTTATTAAATTCATTAAAATCAGTTTATTGCTCCAAATCTGCCATTACAAAAAAATAAGCAAAAATCTGGTTTCGTAGCCGAAGGGTAAGGAATAGAAGGTTTCTGGTTGACAAATCTAGTCACGTAGCGGTTTGAGCTTTTTGGAAAATGGGACGCAATACATCTGTGAGTCCGTTTGTTCTGTGGAACGAGAGAGAAAAAGTTCAAGGTCCGTTCGGAGATGTTATAAAGTTTCGGGAAAGGGGATTTTTGCTGCACAAGAATTTTGCGCTTTTCGTATCGGTACAAAAAAATGAGGTTAAACTCCGCAGGCGATACAACGGCCCAGCAGAACCCGGTGATGGACGGAACTTTTTTACACCCCAATCTGCACCGTCATTGCCAGTTTGGAACCTTGGACACGAAAAAGCTCACGTGAACTCCCCAGGGAATAGATTTTGTTGCGGATTGTTCTCGGAAAATTCAATTTAAAAAAATTTTAAAACATTTAAAAGTTATTAGTATTAAAATTTGTTTCACATTCCATTTTTAAATTTACTACTTTGATTTATTTTAAACCTTTCGCTACATTACTTTTAGGATTTAGGATTACTGTCGATTTCGTAACATACTGTACAAATAACTGTTATACGGGAATAAATAAAATCTGATCCTGTTTTATTTATTATTTTTGATAAAAAAAATCTAAACCCCTCTCAATTTCGTTTTCTTTCGACGCACGTCAATCTAAATTTTAAACCTTGACGAATAATAATACATCAGCCCCCATTGACAAGCGTATAATTGATTGTTGCGTATCACCCTTATAAAAAAATTTAAAAAAATCCCTCTCGACTACAGGAAGAAAGCGGGAGGTAGAAGAAAAAATCTTATTTTGCACCGTACAAAATGTCGAAATTCACTTCTTATTACCATAAATGAAATATTAATGTCGGCGTTAATGTAGAGTGGCGATATGCAAATTATGCAGTCGAGAAGAGTACTACTATGAAGGCAACATCGATCGTATGTTCACCTCACCCTAAATTCTAAAACTCCCCGGAGAGTTTAGGTGAGCCATTTTGCGACAACCTGCAATGTTGTAATCCGGTTATGCGGAGGAAATGGAGCTAAAGTAGCAGCTATACGGATGGGAAAGCTTTAGAATTCGTGAGATATATTTAAAACAGTGAATATAGGCGTTGTATGGGCCGAGTAAACTTCCATACCAAACGGAACTGCTTTATTTATTGTAGCCGGTTTTGCTTCAACCTCCCCAATTAACGAAAGCCGAGTGTTGTTTTGTATTTTGTCA